CCCCTGCCCCTAGTACTTACCAGCACGGAGTCTTTGCTGAAGATTCACAGAGCTTTGAATCAATTCGGATCTTTAAATTGGTCTCCTGATTCAATTTGGATTCAGAGCTTCAGCCACCAAATCTCCTCAGAATTGAATCACCACCTGAAGCTTCGCACAAGGGTTGTTTCCATAGTGCCAAGGTTTCAAGATCATTTCCTTATTTCTTTTTACCAGCTAATTTTGATTTAAGATTTTTTTGCTTTGACAGGGAGGGGGAACAGGGCAGAGAACATTTGCAAGTCCTTCAGGGATGGCAAGCATCTTCTCTTCTCTTTTCTTTACTATAAAATATTAAGCGCTTGTTGAACTCATTTTAAAGGGTTTCACCCTAACAATGATTTCAGAGGCACTACCCATCCATAGTGGACTAGAAGACAGATGGTGTAACTTGCTTAGGAAACTTAATAAAATGAGGTCTCTGTACTGAACTGTGAAATCTCATTGGTACAGCAGGGCTTGACTTGGTCCCTGCATATAGGTTGGGGATATGTAGCCAGATTTTTAAAGCAGTTTAGCTCCCAGCAATTCTAATTTAGGCACTTCGTAAAATGAAGGTAGTTGCTTCATGTGGGTGCACATAAACAATTTAAGGACTATTGAAACCGCATCAGTGGTGACTTCTGAGCATCCCCGTAAATCTTGCTGCTTGGTTTCATTTTCCCTGATACAGCTTTTGACTCATTTCTTTGTCTCCTGTGTTGTATATGTAAGTGCTGATGCTGCAGCAAACTCCACAAAAGCAGATCTCTGAGCTAAGCTACAGCTTTCTTGAAGTCAATGAGACTCCACTGGCCTGGAGAGCAGCATGGGACCAAAAGTTCAATTTAGAGGTCTTGCTGGAGGACTGGCCTACCTTACTGCATGTGTGCAAGATGCCTATGGGAGCTATGTAAAGAACTAATGATAGTGATAAAAGCCAGAAACTGTTGTTTCAGTCCTTTCCTCAGAGCCCGATCCAAAGTCCAGAGGGATTCTTTCAAATAACTGTTGGGCTGTAGGTAGGGCTCTTTGTCTGTATGCAGGCAGAACTACTACTCAAGTTAGTGGAAATATGGATTGAAAGAAGTCTGCAGTGTAAGACCTATGGTAACTCAATAAGCATGTTATCCAGAACAGCTAGCCACAGACAGACAGTTCACCAGAGGCGACTGAGTTTATTGCCGAGAAGGAAAGATGTCTGTTATGGATGAGAAGAAAGTGTTGGGTTGGCAAACTTCAGCTTACTGGGTGGAGATTGGATCTGGCCCTCCATGGTTCAGGGAATCAGCAGCACACTCTGGCCCAAGAGGCAGAGGTGTTCCCAGCTCCTATTGCTTGTTATGTTCAATTCAATCCAGCCACTACAGAAGAGATGGCATCCCCAGGCACCTGTATTTTTTCATCTATTCACTCTGTAGTATCTCCTGATCCCTGGGAAGGGGCAGATATTTGTGACCTGAACTGAGGACTGAGTCATAAAAAGCATACCACAGCGGCAGAAGGTTGCCAATCCCTGCACTAGACAAAAATAAATTCTCCATTATGTTTTTGAGCCTTACATTATTGCATGGTGCTTACCTAGAATGGTAGGACTGGTACCAAGGGGTGCCAATCATGCCCTGAGATATTTTCATCATGCTGGGGTCAGGTTGGTTTTCAATGAATTTGGTTGAAAGCCAGGAGTGCGATCAGCCAACAGGTTAACTCTGCCTGGGTAGAAACAGAGGGATTCAAAATATTAGCTAAGCCTAGTCATCTGGTTCCTTTGCCTGGGCTAATGTCCATGAGAACAGACATTAGCAAATAAATTTCAGTCAAACCATGTCACTCTTCAGTTTACAACTACTTTTTGGTTGATTAACTTTGAAAGGACATAGAACTACCCACCCATCTTAGCTCACCCTTGATGATACATATTCATTCCAAATCAATTCATATCAACAATACACAAAGATGTATATCCATATGTTCTGATGTATATGGATACATACAAGTATATGTATATCCCAACATGTACTCAGACAATTCCAACAATGCACAAACATATTTAGTGATTGCAACTCCTTGTCAATAATTTTACTTGTGTATCTTATAAATATGGACTCTGTCCCTGCAACACGATTCTTATGAGTGGAACCAGGCTCAACTTTGGCAAATGTAGGGCCTTGTTCAAAAATCAGTGTAGAACGTCCATGGGAGAAAAATTAAATAGAAAGTAGGCGGGGGAAGAAATGGGGGAGGGGGAGGAATTATAAAAGATATAACAAAATAGAAGTTTTTGTGTTGCTGACTACTGTAATAATCAATTGCCGTAGTTTTTGCAGCTTGGAAATGCGCACTGTTATTTTACATATATTACTGATATAATTATGTAACATTAGGTCATTGATAAAATTTAGTATTAAGCCTACAAAATTAAGAATCATACAAAGACACATCTGTTGCTCTGAGACTTGACTTCTGCAGCACAAACAAAGGAGAACTAGTGGGATTGGTTCCAAGATAAGGCCAACTTAACATAATTTGTTTTGCAACCTACTATTCATTCTGAAGTTAGTATTTCATTGAAAAGCCAATATTCAGAGGTACTTTAAGAAAGTGTAATGCATTTCAGTGTCCAGCTATAATTTGAAACAAGAAATAAATTTTATGCTATGTGTTCTCTAGAATGCAGGGCCCCCTAAATCATGGGGACTTGTGTGGAAACACAGGTAGCACATGCTGAAAATCAGCTATGATTCGAGTCTTACATCTGGGCAGATGAACACAGGAGCTTAGGTTACCTGGCAGGATGGGGGATCCGGAGGTAGCAACCATGGAATGTACCATTTGATGCTACTGTATAAAAATCCTACAGGGCAACACAAGATGCTGACTACACAGTAGACACATATTACCTCTATAAATACCAAATAAATAAATAAAAGTACTAAATAAATGTGCAGTAACCACTTGTGTAGACGTGCCAACAGATAAGAAATCAGCATTTATCAAAAGGTATTAGAACAAAAGTAACAGCGGGGGGAGTTAATAACAGAAGACACTTTTACACGTGTTCTGGGGGCGGTCAGGAGGTCATCTAGTCCAACCCCCTGCTCAAAACAGGACCATTCCCAACTGAATCATCCCAGCCCAAGCTTTGTCTAGCCGGGTTTTGAAAACCCTCAAGGATGGAGCTTCCGCCACCTCTCTAGGTAACCTGTTCCAATGTTTTACAACCCTCCTAGTGAGAAAATTCTTCCTAAGATCTAACCGAAACTTTCCTTGTTGCAACTTGAGACCGTTGCTCCTTGTTCTATCATCTGCCATCACTGAGAAAGAACAGTCTAGCTCCATCCTCTTTGGAACTCCATTTCAGGTAGTTGAAGGCTGCTCTTAAGTCCCCTCTCAGTCTTCTCTTCTCTAGACTACATAAGCCCAGTCAGTCTTTCCTCATAAGTCATGCCCCCAGCCCCATCACCATTTTGGATGCCCTCCGCTGGACTCTCTCCAATTTGTCCACACCCTAGTGGGGGACCCAAAACTGAACAGAGTACTCCAGATGTGGCCAACCAGTGCTGTATAGAGAGGATTAATCACTTCCCTTGATTTACAGGCAACACACCTGCCAATGCAGCCTGGTATGCCATTAGTCTTCTTGCCAACAAGGGCATACTGCTGGCTCATATTTGGCTTATTGTCCACTGTAACCCCCAGGTCCTTTTCTGCAGAGCTGCTGCCCAGCTAGTCAGCCCCCAGCCAGTCAGCATGGGACTGTTCCATCCTAAATGCAGGACTTTGCATTTGTCCTTGTTGAACCTCATGAGATTTCTTTTGGCCCAATCCTCCAATCTATCTAGGTCACTCTGAATCCTAGCCCTATCCTCCAGCATATCTACTACTCCCCCAGCTTGGTGTCATCTGCAAACTTCCTGAGGATGCACTCTGTGCCATCTTCCAGGTTGTTGATGAACACATTGAACAAAACCAGCCCCAGAACCAACCCGTGGGGCACTCCACTTGATACCAGCTACTAACTAGACATCAAGCCATTGATTACTACTCCCTAAGCCTGATGCTTCATCCAGTTTTCTATCCATCTTACAGTCCATTCATCCAGCCCATACTGCCTTAGCTT